TAATCTTTGGCATTTCTTAAGGAGTTAAGTCACAATTCAAAATTATTATACACGTTACTTCCATGGCTGACATTTCATCCTTAAATCTTATCCCTTAAACATTTACCCTCTAAATTTTTAATGATCTACCAAACACAACCTCAAAACCTAAAATAGCCTTGTCAATCGGCATGCTCATGCAGCCCACTTAAATGACTGCAATCTTGTAGCCCAAAAAAAGTACAACTCAAACTAATGGCCATTAGTCCAAAGACTAAAAGAGTACGAGTTTGATGTATACATCTTAGGTGCAATCAACTTTGATGATCTAATATGGACCAAAGGAAGTACTATTATCAACTTGATAAAAGCAAACTTATCGGTCTAACATAGGAGGAAGAGTTGAACGTGCAAAGATTTCGTGCTCCGCAGTTTTCCATTAGAGCATCCAACTGTTAATTCGATGTTTCCAATGTTGGACTTGGATCTATTATTAACGTTATTCCAAGCAATATAATCTAGGGACAGGATCGTATTTTCTGATCTAGTCCCAAGCAATGAAATGGTTTTGAGCAGGAATATGGTTACGTCCAAGAAAAGAACAGCCATCCATCATCCATATTCCTCCTGCTACAGCATCTCTCTCCCCTACTATTTACAGCCATCCGACTGCCTTTGTGACCCTTCGTAAAATACACAAATAAAACCAAAAAAGTAGCTTGTCTGTTGTCAATATCCGAGCTTGCGCCATTCTCAAAAATTTAAGATTTATTTATTAAAAATTCTGTTTGGTTAGCGATATGAGGTAATATTAATTTTAGAATCATTATTTAGTATTAAAGGTAATTAAGAACTTAAAATGAATACTAATTAATAGATTTTAAAATAAGGAATTGATTATGCATTTAAAAAAATATCAATCATTCAAAAGCACTCTTTCTTAAGTCTACCATGTCCGATTTAATTCTAAATTTTATCTTCTAAAAATTTTAATTTTTGAAAAAATTAATCTTAAGTCAAAATTTCAAATTCTATTTCCTAAGCCAATTTTTTTTCCATCATGTTGAATCAATCGTCAAACCTTTTCGTCTAGAGTCTCGTCAATTCAACATCATATCCGATTTAGATCTCGACATGATCGATATGTCGGAAAACGACCTAATTACTAAAATGTGATTGATTTGAATCATCATCAATTCCTATTAGATATGAGACTTTGTTAATTTTCATCTAGCATTTTATATCTTTTTTCTTTTATTATTTTCTCGTTCTTTTTATATTTTTTCATCATATATATATATAGTGGGAGTCATCATCGGTCCTTAAAAATTAAAAGACTCGACAACTCGTCCACCTATTAATCACCTCATCTAATTATCAAAAGAAAATTAAACATTGGCTAAATAAATAAATTGGCATAAAAACTCATAAATTCAAAAATATTAAATCTAAACTAGGCATAAAATAACAAGCATCCATTAAAAATTCAGAAGTAATTTACCAAGGAAAATGACTGAAATTAGGATTTTTGAGCTATTTGGGCCTGGTGGGCCTTTGATCCATATGAGCAGGCCCATTGGGCTGGCCTGTTGGGCTAGGCTGAGCCCACTGGACCCCCTTTTCTTCTTGGGCTCAAACAGACTGGGCTAAGCCTAGCCCATCCTTTTGTCACATGGGCTGGGTTAAGCCCAGCCTAGCCTCTTTCTGCTTATTTTTAGTGTCATTAGGATCAAATGCGATGAGAAAGTCAGAAAACATCTGCATTCTTAAGGGCTAAAAATGAAACTATACTTTTTGTTCGCTGGAATCAAATTGAAAATTTGTAAAGAATAAGGACTGACTTTATGATATTGTTAAACGGTAGCAAAGCGAACCTTGTTGCCACTGCGCCATTGCCCCTGCTGGCCGGCTTTTGGCCCGTTGTTGTCGTGTGTGTTTTTTTTTTTTTTTAACGTTGAATAGCTCGTAAACGAGTAAATTATAAATTAGTCCATTTTTGAAAAAAGAATTAACTAGTTTTTCATGTTTCCAAAACGTTTTGTCATTTTATGTTTTTTTTTTTTTTTTTTTTGCTTATTGTTCTAAAAATAGAAAAATAAATAAATAAATGCTATGCAACATTTGATGAGTAAAAATGGCATTTTTAGAATAAAATAATATTAAGTTAAATATAGCGGACACAGTATTCAATCAGTAGTGTACTTCAAAGTTTGCAAATGAGCCTATACTGATAATCTTTTTCTTCTTAAAATTTCCTCTCTTTTTTTGCCTTGATAAAAACAAGGGAAGGACTTGCTTTTGCAAATGAGCTATAGTTAGACCAAGAAAACTTTTGTTGCTACACATATACCAATCAACTTAGAAATGCTGCAGGAAGAAATGAATATGAGACCAGATCAACTGACCCAGACCTGGAGTGTTGCAATCAAACACTCATATTGATAGAATTAAGACATGCATTTTGCTCGGATTATATGAATCACTCACTTGAGAAGAAGAATAGGGCGAACTAACAAGTGCCTCCCGTTTGTCTGATAACTATTGTTTCTCCCTCTCATTCTCTAACCAAACAAAGAAAAATTCTTTCATTTCCTTCATTACTATAAATGAGATGGAAAGTCTTAACCACTGAACCAATTTCGTAAGACTATTCAAATATAGACCTGCCAAATTAACAAGATGCACTCCTGCATAAAACTGGCAAAACAGATGATGTACACACAATATCAGTGATGAAGTCCTGATCCATACAGTGGGAAAATAGGAAAGAGTAGTAGCAGTAATCAAGGGGCAAACAAGAACATAGCCAACGAAGATATTAACATTCATAAATCTGCAATATTCATGCAAATACGAGAGTAGCATGTCTGGATCCATATTCAGAGAGTGGTAATTCCCATTAGATCCATATTCAGAACGTAGTAATTCCCATTACATCAAAAGGAATTCCATTCAAATTATTTATCTACTTTTATTTTTGAACATCAACTCCAAGTACAGCAAGCTATACAGTCTTCAGTCACCTGAATCAAAAACGTTTCATCAGTGCTTATATAAAAGCATGCCAACAGCATGATCAATTAGCTGCACCATGCATCCACATCGATGCAATTGAACTTACAAAATTACCTTACACTAATCAGTGGTTTTCAAAAACAATTGCCTAACTCGAAAGGTATTCTGTAGGTCACAAGATGATAGCATAAGAAAATTGGCATAAACTAGAGTAAAAAAATATCTATAGGGTTAAAATACATGTAAAACACTTTACAATTAAATGGTCTTGTGCCTCTCCAGATGAGAAATGGATGAATCAAACACATTAATTTTTTGGTCTAGATTTCAATAGAATCATTCTTTGTAAATTCAATTACACAAGATGCATTTAAGAACAGCACTCCAAGAGTTACAGTTGAAAGACCATATAGAAAATTCAAAGACCACCATCCACCAATAAAGCAATTTTTCCTATCACAATATGAGCAAGAAGACCATCAAACCCAATCCTAGAAACAGTTGGACAAGTCCAGTGCTACAATAAAAAGTATGATGCAAGTAGACTTACATAGACTCAAAATCCACCCAAAAGCATGTTGCTCAGAGACAAACATCACCTTCAACTAGTTTGCTCAGTTTATTATAATAGACAAAATGTTTCTAAATTCTAAACATCAGAGGCACTTTCCTCTAGAATTCCATACAATACGACAGGTACGATGAATACCACAGAGCACCCTGTGGCCTTACCATTGCTTCTAATGAATTCAACAAATACCATCTTCAGACACATCCCAAATTGTTGGACTAATGGTTTCAGTTTGATTAATGCACAACTAAGACAATTTTACTAATCAAATGCGTAGGTCAGCTGCAGTGCCACAGAGAACACAGCTAAGGGACCCAAATTTGTGATTTTTGAGAAGATGGGTAAAGCATGCTAAACTCACATTCTAGTGTCTTTTTCACCTATATCAAAAAGCTCTGTTTCCATCTTCATGTCCAACAATAACATGTAAGTGTACTACTCTGGTCTTAGATTTTTCTGGAAACTGATATCTTTTGCAACATAAATTAGACTGAGGTCACACTAAAAAACTAGTTTTTGCCTAATTCACTACCAATATAATTCGGTTCATCAGATTGGAGACAAAATTATTATGATTATGTTAAGGCTCAATGGAACACCCCATGGGAAGGCCTAAGGAAATGCCTTACAACAGAACCTCAAGGCAAGTAACCTAATACTTGGACCAGCAAAATTGCGAATTCATCTCAACTTGCAAACCTAGCTGTGGATGCATATGTGCCCAGCCTCATTCCCAAGAAGTAGTGGTTCTATCTGCCTCTATAATGTTCTAGTTGCATTTTCAGCAGGCATTGGTTCAAGATCTTACTTTTGAAAAAAAAAATGGATCAGCTAAAAAGTAGGGGAAAAAAAAACAACGCATCAATTATACAGAGAATCATATACTTTAATTTGCAAACCAATGGGTGTTTAGCCTAGTAGTACTCTCCCAAAGGAGAGAGAGTGGTGTCTTGGGTTCAAACTCTACTCTTGCCATTCAAGGAAATGGAAAAAACAGAAACAAAAGAAAAAGGGCTTTCTTGACTAAATTCTTGTCTTTGTAGGCTGTGGGTTTTAAATAAAGTTAACGACCGTCCTGCCTCAAGAAAGCTAATTGCATAAAATGGAATCTGAGTGAATTTTGCAAGAGACATCCAACCAAAAATTCATCCCCAACAGGTTCTAACTCCATCACTTGGTATACAGCTTTGAAGGCCCGCATACCCCTCTTATTTCCTATCGCTAGATCCATTCTGCAGGTATCTTATAAGTTTTAGGGCCATTGACATGTTGCAGTGTTATTAAAAATGTTAAGCATGCCTTTAGCATATGTGAATCAAGCCATATGTGACTCCGAAACATTGTCTAAATTATCTAAAAATTTCCATATTTGACAGCATACTAATTCTGTTATAAGAAATCAAAGACAGTTGATTCTATATATATATATACCTAGCTAAGCGCTAGAGCCAGAAGGAGCATCCCCAACAAGCTTGAATTCCTGAACCTCCTTAAAATTCATCCATGGCTTCTCCCAAACCTTGGCTTCATACACTTTGTTGTGACCCCCTTCAGTTACCTCCAAGGTTATATAGTAAATCGTCCCAGATACCACCTGCTGCTTCGTGTTCAGCACCTTCTTGAACTCCAACAGCGAATTCTGCACAAAAACATGAGACCAAATTGAATTTAAACAATATTTTACAAAAGTCTTCAAAACGAACAGAAAAAAAAACGAACATGTTTCTTGTTGTAATCATCAACAGCAAAACGAGCAAGAGCGTCGATTTCAAGACTGTTAGCTGATCCTTCCACCTCTTTAATACCACCTGTTGTTGCCATTTCTTTCTTTCTTTCTTTCTGTGATTCTCTGCTTTGCTCTGTTCACTGTTTCCTTCTGTTTTTTTGCTCTGCTTTTGGTATCAAGAGAAAAGAAGAATTTATTCTTGTTTATACGGGAACGGAAGGCTGTAGATTAAATAACAGAGATACAAGGCCGTGGTTTTTCAGAATAAAAATCGTTATCTTGTTGGACTTTATTGATGTCTAAGTTTTAGTCAATTTTGGCGCCGCATGCGGTGGCGATTAGTTTGGCTTTTGAGTTGGTACGTAGGAATCAAAGGATGAAATTAGGCTTTGCGTGCGCGTATTCAATTAACAATAAATTTCAAATTCTTTTGGGTCAAGAAAAAAATATAGAAGAAAAGAAAGGGCCTGTTTCGTATTGTGATCATCAACTGCAAAACAAGCAAAACTGTTGGCTGATCCTTCCGCTTCTTTAATGCCTCTGTTGTTGCCATTTCTTGCTTTCTAGGATTCTCTGCTTTGTTGATGTATTTTGCCATGAAAAAAATATAAGTTGATTAAAAGTTGTTGGTGGAGTGATAGAGATAAAAAGAGTGTTTTTTGAATTCTTACTCATTATATTAAGAGTTGGATTTTTATTATTGAAAAACTTTTGACTCTAATCAAAATATTTAAGTACTGTATTTTACCATAATACCTCTAATTAAAATATTTTTTGATAGAACAATATAATTTTATTAGTACTAAATAATATATAGTCTTTATAATTTTCATAAAATTCAAATAAAGGTTACGGCTGATCAATGGGGAACATGCTGCATTACTATGCCCATTTATGATTGATGAAAATATCAAGTTTGGGTTAAATAACAAAACCAATTCATTATAGATTTTTTAACAAACTTTCAATCGATACAAACCAATTATAAAAAATCTTAAATATTAAGGATAATAAGTCAAATAAAATCATAAATTTTACATCATATAGATCTAAATTCATAATTATTTAAACTATTAAAAAAAGTATATCTAAAAAATAGATCTTTATTTTAAAAAAATAAAATAAAAAAGAAAAAAATAAGAAAAGATTAAGGGGGTTATAGCCGATGATATCAACGATAGCTGAAAAAATTGCTATTAAATGAACATATATGCAGAGGAGAAAGAAAGCGTAAGAGATAGAGCCTCTAGCGCCCATGGTTTTTAATTATTGGACTATTATACCTCTAATTAAATCTTATTTGTAAAAAAAAAAAAAAAAAGTCAGAACATTTAAGCATTTCATTTTATTATAATACCCCTAATTAAATCTTATTTATTTATATAAAAAAATCTTACAATTGAAAAATGCTGTTTTGAAAAATAGGTGTAAAAAATAGTAATATATATATATATATATATGAACGAAAAATCAAAAAATGATAATCTCTTTTTTATGATCGAAGAAATAGAATATTAGTCGTTGTCTTATGGAGACATTTATAGACTTTATTGCATGCACACTTTCGCTGACTGGACCTGGTTCACGATATAACCTGAGCAAGAAGTTTTAGCTCATAGGTATAAGCTGACTGGACCTGGTTCCTGATTGGTTGGGCCTCAAGCCTAGTATTTTGTCCACTGGGCTATCCATCCAATTACATTCTTAGGTAATCCTAAACTATTTATATGCAGCTTGGATTATGATTGGTATTAACAATTGATCCAAGTTGTTATGTCACTTTTTGGCTTAAACAAAAATCAAAAGTATATTTTGTTAAAAATTAATTTAAATTTAAATTAATTTTTTTATATAAATTTTATTTAAAATTTCGATTTAATTAAAAGTTGAGCTTTTGAATTTTTAACTTATTTTAAATTATATATATATATATATATATGTATTGAATCATTTTTACCAAACATACTTCATACCTAAAAGTTATTTTAACTAATTTTTATCTTAGATTAGTCATGAAAAATAACTTTTGGATTATAATTTAAAGTCAAAAGTCATCATACGACTCTTAATTTCCGAAGCTTGGATGAAAACCACCGGTGCCTTTCTATTTTTAGTTTTTAGTCATATCAACCCTTTTACATTATTTTGATCCATGACCATCCCTCTATTGGACAAATTGATACTCATTGGTCCTTCTATTCCACTCCATTATGCAAGTCCATTAATTTTACAAAATCATACTCAAATTATTAAAATTCAAAATTCAAAATCTATTTGATAGATTTATGAAAACATAAGATGCAAATAGAGTTTACCCTCTTATTTATCACCATCCAAAGTTTTTACATTTGATAAGTACTTAAAAAAAAATAGAAATTTACTAAGTTCAAAAACCATCTCATCGCTTCAATCATAGAAAAAAAAAATTGATAAATTCTAAACATGTCTTCTCTACCCACGTCGTCCACTGCGTTTCGCTGTTGCAGCCGCCATAAAAACTCAAGAACCAGTTTTTTTCAAAATTTCTCTGCCACAGAAGACTTACCGCTACGAGTGACCAAGATCGAAGCTTTGATGAGTAGATCCGCGTTAATGGGACTATAAAAATTATTTTTTGGACTAATTCGGTAGTTTTAGTTTTGAAAACATAAAACCACTGGAATTTTTTTAAAAAAAATGGAAATTTAGCTCATCAGATATCTAATAATCTCTTGAATGGAGCTAGAAGAGAGTATTTATTTATTACTATTATTTATTTTGGAAAACTGAAAATTTATGAAAGCAGCCGTTAGAAAGTGACAAGACCCAACCGGCTTGGACATTGGTGGGGTGGCTGACTATGATTTGACATCACGGTGAATTGACAGAAGAGAAGACCAAACAATTCGTTAGATATCTAGCACAGCAGTGGCTGGGTAGACGCGGAGAATGGTGACAAAAGCAAGATCCGTGCCTTTTTGTTCGCTTGTTTTGTCACTTTTTGCTTATTGTTCCATTCACATGGGTCAATGGCCCATCGAATCCAACAAGCCTATCAAGCCAGGATTGTGCAGGATACAGTTGGTCTCTGTATATGCACAAACTGATCTGTGGATAGGATTTTTTTGGCAAGATGTGCCTTTAGTTAGGGCATAAATTAAGTCATCAGAAATTTTTAAATTTTCATGCATTAATTATTTAATTTATTGTCTGTAATGTGCTTTTAAAATTATTAAAGGAAAAAATTAGTTCGACTGACATGCAAATTGGTTTAAGAATATTTTTGATCGTTTGGATAAAAATATAAAAAACATAAAATTTCTTTATGTTACTTTATTATTTGAACTAGCTAAAAAAAATTAAAGTTTTTTTTTATCTAAGTGTTTTATTAAACTTCATTTGTGGTTGGATTGTGTTAAAAAGTTAAATAACAAATATTTAAATAAAAATCAATGATATCATCAAAAACGCTAAATAAGTTCTTTATTGATTGATGATATTTTTAATTACTTATAATAATTTAATGAATTGTGGTAAAAAAAGAAAAGAAAAGCAAATACTGATTAGCAGTTGTAAATAACTCTTAGTAAGTACACAAGGGTACAAATTACATACGTTTCTTTTTAACACCCCTTCCATTCCCATTAAATTTAAAGTAATGCTATTTTATTCCAAATCTCATTTCCTAAACTCACTTCTACAAAAATCACAACCACTGAATTTATGGAGTCCATCATTAATACCCATTTATTTAATGGATGAAATTAATTGTATTATTAAATTTACTTTAATAGCATAAAATGAAATGAAAACTTAACTTAATGATTGTGTATTTAATTATTTTTTTATTGACAAAATAAAATTCTAATTCTAATCACTTTAACTTTTTTTTTATAGTAATTATATAATTAAAAGAAACTAGATTTTTTTGTATAGCACAAAGGCCAATCGATCTCCAATGAAAAAAAAAAAAAACCCTCAAAAATTGAGAGCACTATATTACTGACAAAAACAATGACAAGGTTTCCATTGCTACTTACGAATCCAAAAACCAAACTTAGCAACGTACTTACCTTATTTTCCTTCCTTCCGGGAATCTCCTGTCCTCTGTCGCACTAAACACGCCTCTTTCAACTTAATTAAACTAAAAGTTATAACTTCCCTTCTTCCTCTCTGTAAATACTCCTTTCCGAAACTAAACCCTCTCTATCTTCTCCTCAGCCTCCACTTCCTTATCTTTATTCAATCCTCCGCCACCACACAACACAATATTCTTACCCATATTTATCTTTCGGGGTCCAATAAAGTCCACATTTTATCATCTGGGCTCTTTTATCAACGCAAAACTAGTTCCTTTTTAAAGAGAAGGAAAAGATGGCCATTCCTTGTCCTCATTTCAATTTTGCTATTTCTGAGAAACCAGCCATGGAGACACTTTCTCAATCTCCAGTGGTTTTGGTTCAAGATGAGCTTAAAAAGATAGCAGCTTACAAAGCTGTGGAGATGGTGAAATCAGGCATGGTTATTGGGCTTGGTACAGGTTCTACAGCAAAGCATGCTGTGGATAGGATTGGCGAGCTTTTGCGTCAAGGGAAGCTTGAAGACATTATAGGTATACCTACTTCAACAAAAACACATGAACAAGCTTTGTCTTTGGGTATTCCTTTATCAGATCTTGATTCACACCCTGTCCTTGATATTGCGATTGATGGGGCTGATGAGGTTGATCCTGAACTCAATTTAGTTAAAGGTAGAGGTGGGTCTTTGTTGAGGGAGAAAATGGTGGAGGGTGTTTGTAAGAAGTTTGTGGTTATTGTTGATGAATCTAAATTGGTTAAGTATATTGGGGCTAGTGGTTTGGCTATGCCTGTTGAGATTGTTCCTTTTTGTTGGAAATTTACTGCTCAGAGGTTGCAGGAATTCTTTGAGTATGCAGGTTGTGTGGCAAAGTTGAGAACTTTTGCGAGTTCTAATGGGATGGAGAATTGTGTTTTGCCTTTTGTTACTGATAATGGGAATTATCTTGTGGATTTGTATTTTAAGGGAGATATTGGGGATTTGAAGGCTGCAAGTGATGCAATTTTGAGGTTAGCTGGTGTGGTTGAGCATGGAATGTTTCTTGATATGGCTACTACTGTTGTAGTTGCAGGGGAGCTCGGAGTCACCATCAAGAACAAGATTATAAGGTAGTTCGAGACATATAAGTGGAGGTAGTTTTTTTCTGGTGACATGTAGGAGTTAATTTATCATTTTTGAAGATCTCGTCAAGATGAGTATTGTTGTTGTTCATTGTTTCCGTAGGGAAGAAATTTTGTCTCGTTTGTATCAATTTACAATCTATGAGGATGATTCTCCTCAAATTTTGGTATTCTCTCTGAGGAAGATTCTTATGTCTTAGAATTGGAGGTTAGATAATAGAGTTTTGGCATCTGTTAGCAGCTGAATGATCAAACTTGTGTGTGTCAGCTGGATTATGATTTATTTAATATAAAATACGGTTCTGCATTTTTTCATTGATCCAAATTTTCCAGCTTCCTTACTAATTGATTTTGAATTCCTTTTATTTTTTGTTGGATACTGTTGCAGACATGCTGACAAGGCTACTTTGTGAGAATGAGTTCATATCTACTGCAGTAGAGCTGCTGAAGAATTGCTCAAGCTAAATGTATTTTAAGACCAAGTCTTTAATAAATTAGTTGTTATGGTTTAATTATGAGAAGAGTTGTCAATCATGTCACATTATCGACATATTCAATAAGAAAAGTAGAGTGTTGCGGTTTATATGCTTGTTTTTACTGGCAAAATCCTTTGTTTTTGTAAGTTGAGTGATTCCATAAAAGCAAACCAAAGCCCAATTACAAAATCAGAAGTACAATTATCTTCATGTAATGGAAACAGACATGGGAGTTTCAATTTTTTTACCACCAGCGTTTGATAGTGACAATTATCAAGTTTGGACCATGAAAATGACAGTCCATCTTGATGCATTAGACCTGTGGGAGACAGTAGAGGAAAACTATGAAATTCCTCCATTCTAAAAAAACGAAGGTTGCGTTTGTTTTCTCCGTTTTCCTATGTTTGTTTGTTTGACCATATTGGAAAAAAGTCAAAGAAACTTATTTTTCAATCAAGGAAAATTGAAAGCCAAGTTTAAGGAAAATTACTTCCCAAATAGAAAACGAGAAAACATTTTCTCTCTGGAGCTTGTTACTGTACATCCACTTCTCACCCAATCTCACATGTTCCGTTGCTGCTTGAAGCCGACCCAACGATATCTCCGCCACCCAACATCGTCACAACGAAACTAACGCCACCGTCAAACAAACAAAGCTTGCAAAAGACAATTAGATCTCGCTGTGATTTCTTGTAATATTGTCCGATTTATAAGATTTTGTGTCTTCCACTAGTTTTGCCTTGTGGGTTTTAATGAAAACCCTCTAGTTTTGTTTAAGCTTTGATCCGAACTTGCAAAACAGAACGGAACAAAGTGAGAGGGGGAGAGTGAGAGGGATATAACTAAAAGAGCCATATAAATTAAGAATTGATTTGTGATGGGTTCAATTTATTCTAGAATCCCTTTTTCTTGTTTGTATATGCATGGTAGTTGGGCTTGTTTTATTCAAATGAAGGCAATAATTTTGAGCTCAATAGCTATCTAAAGCAGATAATTCTAAAAATTAACTACTAACAGCAAGAACAGGGATGACAATGATGATGATGATGATAATGACTTTGATTGCAAATGATAATAGTGTTGTTGACATGTAGTACAAGAACAATGTGTGCCATTTTCAACATTGATTTTTAAATTCTTTGAGACCAATTTGATCGTAGGGAAGAAATTTAACAAATCAAATATCTACCTTGACTTCCTTCCAAGTCCAATTAGGTTCATATCCTCCAAACTCAAAGACGACTACTGCTATTGTTGCTGCTTTGTTGTGTTTTCCTTGTTATATTCATGCACATTCTCTTTCTCTCGTCTCTTTCATGTCCTTGATGGCTCTCACTACCCCTAAAGTACTCCTATTCTTGTTGTTCTTCACGGTTGAGAGTGGGGGAAAGGTGAAATTGAAGTGATTGGTGTTCCTAAAACCAAGCACTTGCATTTGTTGTTTGAATCAAACTTGCACTTGTTGCTCTCATATTTTCTTCTTAGCTAATTCTTGCTACTGCCGATTATTACTCAATGAATTTATCTAGGATATGATATATAGTAGTAATAAAAATGATTCATTTCCTTTTATCAAATTACAATATATATACGAGTGGTTAGCTTACGTCTATGGATATCCGAAGGATGCATATCCACCATCTGGATACCTTATTTAAGGATATCCACAAGGTTACCCTCCTTAAGGGTATGCTCCCCAGATATAGTCTTGCTCCTCCTGTGCAAGAAACTGGTTTTCTTGAAGGATGGTGTGAGTGTTTGTGTGTGTGTGTGTGTGTTTTTTTTTTTTTCTTTCCTTCTTCTCGGTGAAAAAATTTGATGGGTTAATATTTTGTTTGTTGGCTAGTTGATTTATTTTTATTTTTGGAACAAAAGATTATTGCATAATTGACAAAAATACTACCCTATTTATTATATTAAAAGGCTTGAACTGTGTAGTTGTGTAATTGAATTCGACAATTTTCTTTTTTCAACTTATTGTATGTGCGGCTTAGCGGCACTTTGTTGTTGTTGCCTTTTGGGTGCTTGCTTCGATCGGGATCGAGAGTGTATTGCGATCATTTGTTCATTAGTTCTTCTAGTTTAAGTCATAGCATTGTCTATTAGTGATAATTAATTTCCCTTTCACTTTTAAGTCGGCTATTAAGATGACACGTATTTTAATTATTTCATAACTTTGTAATCTCTTTTTTAATACAAAAACTTGTTATTTGATCGATTAGAAAATAGATTTGATGCGACGTATAGCAAATACGAGTTTGGTATATTTTTAAAGCTTTTTTTTGTGCCATTAAAAGGAACTCTTTGATTATTTTAACTCATTTCAAGAAACTCTCAAACAAGTAGTTGAATAATTTACTTGTTTGCTTACTACCTAATCGTTTCCTCGTAACGGAAAGCAAAGCGAGGCGAGCCATCATTTTATCAACTAGGAGACAAGCATGTAATCCTCGGCCCGGGATCATCCTAAAAAACAAAGTTTACATTTAATTTAGGACCTTCCTTGGCCAAGAAATCACCACAGGCATTCCCCTCCCTATCCTTGAGCAGGGGGTGAGCTTCCGAGTGAGTTAGTGTCACCGTAAGTTGGTTTCATCAAGAAGTTTACGACTCAAAGCCATTTGAATTAGCCCATTGCTCTACTTATTATGGCAATATTGTAACCGGTATGACATGAAAAGCCTTTTATATACTTTTCATAATGGTCTTAATGACACAACCAACATAAGCGTAGGGAAGAATTTATCTAAGTACTCAAGTTTTTTTTAGTTTACTTCCAACAATCAAAGCCTATTTTTATATTTAAATTTTACGTATCAAACAAATACTTGAAATATATTTTTTAACAGTTTTTTCATATAATTGTCAAATGCTAGAAAATATTTTCTAGGAAAACAACTTTCCGGAAAATAGCTTCTCCGGAATTACTTTTTCTCTAGGAATTTATTTTTCCTCAAACAAACAACACCTAAAACAACTGGTTTTTTTTGTTCATTTGCTTGTAATTTTTTTTTCTTTTTTAGAGTGCTTGCCTTGAGAAGGGCTCATTTTATCGTAGCTTTTTTTTTTTTTTTTAAGAGTCGGCCTAGCTCACTTTATTGTAGAATTTCTTCTTTTTTTTTTCTTTAGGGCCAGCCTCGAGAAGTGGGCTCAAGCAGGCCTAGTCTCGGCTCCTAGGCTCGTACAAACAATCCCAACGAGTATTTGCCTTTTTTTCTTCTAATAATTTATTTTTATATTTTTTTTATCATGAGGTTAGGTGTGAAAATATAAAAAAGATCTTTTTTTCTTTTAATTTTATGTATGTTTTGACGATAATAAAAAATATATGATATTTTTTAAAAAATTTAGTTTAAACATATATATCCGATTGTTTAAAATTTATTTCTTCAATTGTTTGTTTCTTATTAAAATTATCATCGAATTAATTTTTTAATTTTATTTGTTAATAATTTTGATTTTTTTATATATGGATTTTGAAATAAAATTTTAAAACATGATTGTTCTATTTTTAAAAATATTTTATTATAATTTATACAATTGATTATTTTTATAATTTTTAAATGAAGTAACGTAATTGCATATATGAATTCCGATGAGAGAGAGAGCTAAAAGTGTGCTTTAGATAATTTGACTTAATTTTTTAAAAAATAATAATCAGTTAAAAAATTAATTTGACTTAATTTTCTTTAAAAAAAAATTAAGAACTTCACAGATTTTATTATAAAGAAAATTTTAAAAAAATGGGGTATTTGAACAAGTGGCTACCATTCATTTACTTAGATTATAATTTTTTAACATTTTGATCCTTGATATTTTTTAAAGATGAGTAAGATGTGAAAATATAAAAAAGATCGTTATTTTTTTAGCTTTACGTACATTTTGATAGTAATAGAATATATATAATATTTTTAAAAATTTTAGTCTAAACATATATATGTGATTATATTATTTTTATTGTTTAAAATTTATTTCTTTAATTGTTTGTTTCTTATTAAAATTCTCGTCGAATTAATTTTTTAATTTTATATATTTTATTTGTTAATAAATTTGATTTTTTTTATATATGGATTTTGAAATAAAATTTTAGAAATTGATTTTTTTTATTTTCTAAAATATATTATTATAATTTATACGATTGATTATTTTTATGATTTTTAAATGAAAGCAACGTAATTGCATATATAAATTATGATGAGAGAGAGAGAGAGCTGAAAGGGTGTTTTAAATAATTTGACTCAATTTTTTTAAAACATAATAATCAGTTAAAAAATTAATTTGACTCAATTTTTTTAAAAGAATTAATAATTAGTTAAAAAAATACACAGGTTTTATTATAAAGAAAATTAAAAGAACTGAGGTATTTGAACGAGTGACAACTCGTTCATTTACTATAGATTATAATTTTTTAACATTTTGGTCCTTAATATTTTTGAAAGATGAGTTTTTCTACAGTGATTTCAAGCTATCAAATAATTAAAGGAGGTAGATCGAAGACATTTACTTAGATTATAATTTTTTAACATTTTGGTCCTTGATATTTTTGAAAGATGAGTTAGATGTGAAAATATAAAAAAGATCATTATTTTTTTTAGCTTTATGTACCGTTTGACGGTAATAGAATATATATGATATTTTAAAAAATTTTAGTATAAACATATATATATGATTATATTATTTTTATTATTTAAAATTTATTTCTTTAATTTTTTATTTCTTATTAA